CTGCATATGCACAGGTCTAGATTGCTTATTTGCTTAATGAAGTACCCTTGGACAGTTTTTTTGTATGTCAAATTGGTTCAAAAGATGGGCACTATGCGGCGCCAAGCTTTGGTTGGTCGATGTGAAATAAAGAGTGAAGATTATTCACGCTATAACTTGATCTGTTTGTAAAACTTTCTTGAGCCATAGCTACGCGCTTATTGTAAGAAAACTAACCGTTGTAGTGTGAGGGCGTAGAGACGGGTCACTTCAATACCTCCCCCCCTCCCCAGGAGACGAACTGTGACAGATTAGGCCCTGAATCGACTCTTTTTCTCAGCTGCTTAGGGTGCCCGGATTGTGTTCCTTTCTCAATATGGGTTTGGTCAGCGTGCTTTTTGTAATTTGGGTGCATTCTGACACGTCGATTATTGTAGGCTTGCGTCTGTCTGTACCTACCATCTCATAATGTCCTTTTATTAGCAAAGTAAAATGTTTCCTGTCTCTAAAGATGACACGAAAGGGGCAACTTTATGGTACTGATGGTGGTGGCAATACTCGGTCGCCTCTGACGTAAAGGCCTTCGTAGGTCATATGGTCCTTAGGCACTTCCGACCTGCAGGTAGTTGGCCTGAAAGCTATGCTGCGTAGTTTCTCCGTCTTATCGGCCATATTTCTATCGTTACCGGCAGATGGTACTCTCATGTTGGTAGGGCCGACAAAATCATCGGATAATCGTGATTGGCATCCGTAAACCATTTCTGCTGTCGGTTTCCGATTTGATTGTGCTCCGTAATCTCTGTAGGACTAAAGACAACTTGTCTGTCCACTTGTCCAGGCTCTTCTGACATCTTATACAGGCTTTTGGCTGACGGTGGCAACGTCATCCTAAGCTATTAGCTTGCTGGTGGTAGGCACACTTGTCAATCCTTTTCGTTTCTAATAATTTAAATAGTTGGACGAACAGATCGTCTCACTAGCATGCATGTGCGCAACATACATGCAATAGAATGCATTCACATGCGGTAACATTTCAGGGTCAAAAATATAACTGATTTAGGGGATGATGCAGCTGTCCGGTCGTAATTGCATCCATTACACGCTTCATCTGCAGCCACTTCATGTTTTCCGCAGATAATTTCAGCAAGCATGTAGGAAGGGCAATGATATTTAATTAAATCATGAAATGTCTCACTATGTGAGCCTATCTAAGTTACAAAATGTGGATAGGATTGCAGCCGGTCACCTTTCTTGTCCTTTTGCTTGGTGATCTATCTTAAAGCATGGTGTCCTGCTCTGACGATATCCATGACACGACGGACGAAAGTTTACCAAGGCTTGATCAGGTAACGGAACAGTGCGCCAATGACATATTAGTACAAAACTACAGTTAGAACGCGAAGGCAATCCCCTTTGAATTCCAATGAGACCAACTAACGAATCCCTTCTACTCGCCTCTTCAAACCAAGTGAAAAGTATTCCAACATCAGTCTATTAAGGAATTGTTAGAAAACTAGTTTTTTCTACTTATCTACGTAGCTAAGTAGTCCTGACGCAATCAAAATATTTCTTGAAATCTTGTTCAATTTTGCTTATTGTCGATATTGTATGTGAAGTCTATATTTTATCTGACATTATTTGCCAGGTTTTTAGTAGGATTTATTTCTATTAAACCAGATATTCTCTATCCTTGATAGTTATTGCTTTATATTCTTGCTTCTGCCTAAGAATGGAAAAGATATTCAAGCACATCAATGTTTGAAGCTTTTTTAGCTGCCTTTATATCTTTTAGCCTAAAGCTTTGCATATAATCAGGGGAATTCTCTTTCAGATCTACATTATTACTAAATATATCCGAGGTATGCTATAGGTTAATGTTTTCACATGGTCTCCTGTTGTATACTTTGCCTACTACTATCAGTTTAAAGCATTCTAGAATCTGGGTTGGAATTGAGAGGCGTATAACTTTGAGAAATTAATAACCAAATTTAGGATTGCTTTTTATAGATTTCTAAGAATGTTTTTGATATTTTTCTCATTCCCTAAGTGAACTAATGTGACCCAAGTTCCTATGAGTGGTCTATTCATACTTTCGAAGCTTACTCATTCGATATCTGGTACCGTTGCCGAGTGTGATAGCCCATTGTTTTCGTTGTCCTGGTATACATGTAGATTAGAAGAGCTTCACCTACCTTCTCTGTGACCAATGGCACGGACGGTGTATTACAGAGAGTTAACTGCCGCTTGACGCGTATGATCCAGCCTAGATTTATGTAATGGGCGCTGAGGCCTAGGCGAAGGCGACTCTACAGTCGATCCTCTATTAGAAGGCCTTTTGAAAGACAAGGCTAATGAACTTCCTCGTGAGGGCTGTTTATTTCATTGTTTAAAGTTTTACCTTTATCTGTTCCATTTATGTCCATTACCTAAGACTAATTGAGTCCTTTTAAAAGTGTTGACAATTTCTCAATCTACTTATTCTGGTTCAATAGAAGAAAGTAGTCAATTTACAGATTGGCTTCAGCCTTTATTTATATTTACGAGTCTTATTTATTACTTTATTTTTGTACAAGGCATGGATCGTGATCCTACAGGTGGCTTTTTCGGCGCGTCTTTGCCGATTGATTATGTACTAAATCTCTCGAATGACATTATACTTGCTTATGAGATGAACGGAGAACCACTTCCTCTGGATCACGGTAGTCCTCTTCGTCTGATTGTTCCCGGAGCGATTGGAGCCCGTCAGGTGAAATGGCTTTGCAAGGTAAGAGCGATAGGCCAGGATTTATTATCCCTTTTTAATCATCATGGAACTATTTGTGATAATGAGAGATATACAGGCTTTCCGTCGGCTTACTCACAAAGCCGCAATTTCCCTTAAGCTTAGGTCTACACTACATTGCATTTTATGTCGCACTAGAGAGGAGTTGGTTTAAATGTGATATCAGGTTTTTTCAGAAACCTAGCAGATAAGTCCACGTTGTCATCAGCAACAGTAATACTGTTCTATTAGAATACTCTTTGACTATTATGAAGCCCACGTTTACCAGCATTTTTCTCAGGATCTATAGGCCCTCTTGGCCTAGATAAATTTTTGGTATACGTGCTTAACCACTCCATCTATTTATATTTTTCAAAATTATTTTGCCTTTGTATCTTCCATTTTTTGCAAAATATTTGCTCGATTTTATTCACCTCATATAGAGCGTAGATTTATTTGCCACCGACTTGTGCATGTACATCCCCAGGTTTGTATTCGAATAAATTACTCCTTCTTGCGCCCCTTGAGCATATGAATACATGATGAGAT